AACGCCACTTTCCTCGACTGAGGTGTAGCGGAACGAGACGAGTCTTCTGCTGGGGAAAAGTTACGAAGCCGTCTGTTCATTATGACTCAAAGCGTGTAATAACTTTGTGGGGAACCGTTCAGTGCTAGTCGCTTTGTTTCGGTTTCCGGTCTGCAAGTCCTTAAGATACCTGTGCGATCCCAATTTACTTCAATTTAGTTCTTGTTCATTTTCTTGCTATTTGCTCTTTCATAGCGTTACATCAGTTTATATGTATTGGCATGACATAGCTGGTTGGATGTAACGCAAGAATTTTTCCTTATGATCGTTTCTTTCTTCAACGAATCTTTAGCGTTCTTTCAAAATCAATCTTCTTAATACAATGTCGTAAGATATTCAGGAGATATCCAGTGATCACTTCTCATACTTTCTTCGAAGAATATCTTTAAATATTAATGTAATTTATTTTTAAAAAGTAAAATAAAGCAAATGTAAAGTTCCTCAATGTTTAGAAATTAATGAGACCAAATTTCGTACAACAGCAATTATATTGTGGTGGTCAGAGGATAAATAAATATTCCTCTGTGGGATACGGTGCCCAAATCTTAAAAACTAAACGGGCCATTGTGACCTTTTCTTGATTAAAACCCGGGTCAGAACGGGACACATGCACATAACATAAAAGTTGGCCCGTAATTTTCAACGAAGATTGCTTGCTAAGTCGCACAGAAACTCACAGAAGCAGAAGGTTCGGATCATTGAATTCCTCGGAAATGGTATCGATAGCGATAAAACATATACCAACTCAAATGACGCGATAGCTCATTTTCCCTTCGTAGAATAACTACAGAATCTCTCCCATCACTGAACTTGATAGTATGTGAAACACTGTTGTTACAGGATGTATGAGCGTATAATCTACTCGTGCTTACTTTTTTATAAAGTAATATAATCCCAACGAAATACATTATAATAAATTTAAAGTAGTTGACGTCACATTATGCAGATTAGCCATCGTCACAAAACAGGAATTTTGTCGTCACGTTTTCCTTTCAAAATACGGGACAGCTACTCAAAAAAGAGACAGTCCCGGCTAATAAGGGATCTATTGTCAGTGTGGGATGACTTTTAAATGATTCTATTTGCTTACGTTAATTGGAATAATTTGAAACACATCTGAACTCCCTACAACCGAAGAAACAGTAACAGTTGAATGTGCTGACTACACATTTGTTTTTGCTTCAGACAGTGATCCTCAGGAGGCTCCTAGATTTCTTCAGAAACATCTCAACAAACTAAAACAATGGCTAAATACTTCACGAATAAGAGAAAATGAAAACAAATCAAGTCACATTTCTACCACCATGAAGAAAAGACTCAAAGTGCAGTTGAACAGAACAAACCTTCCAGACACAGATTCAATGGTACATTTAGTATTTATCTAGAAACAAGATTTACGTGAAAAATTAACATATTATGCTCATTCAGAAAACGTCTTTTAAAATACAGAAAACTGTATTGGTTGTTAGAAAGAAACTCAGTGTTAGCTTTGGAAAATAAATTACTCATTTATAAATCATTCTTGAAGCCTGTTTAGACGTACTGCATACAGATCTGGAGCACTAGTAGCAAATCCAATATTCAAATAATTTTAAAAGTTCTCAATCCAAAGTATTAAGAAACATTACTAATGGTTCCTGGTATGTTCGAAATAATGTCATTCACTTTGATTTTTTAATGTCAATAGTAAACGAAGAAATAAAAAATTATAGTTGTAAGTAATTAAAAAATTAGGATGCCATATTAAGCAATATTTTTTTTGATAACACTTTGGAAATAATACGTCATAAAATGTTCAAATCTCTGGGGGTTGGCTCACAGATTTTGAAGTGTAGCTACATGTGTAATCAACTATTAATGGATACTAATGAGTGTCTCCTGGAATTAATGCCAATTATCTAGTCAACAAATTTACTTATTGTTCTCATGTATGAACAGATTGTAAATAAACGTTTAATAATAAATAAAATATTGAAACAACATTATCACAAACTATTGGCCTACAGCAACAAACATCCTGCGGTTTAGTGGGTTGAAACTGTGGTCGTGGAGGAGCAAAATTCGGTTGTTCTAAAACGACACACAAGAAAACGGAACCTTCTTTTTTTCCTCTTCGTATTATGTAGCTTTGTCGGAAACTGTGACGCGCTGAGTATGATAATTTAATCAGTAACATCAAGTATGAAACATCAGGGATGAACATAAGCAAATAAATTGGTCAAAATCGTTTCGGACAAAATCGAAACTATTTCATTGTTTATGTATTTTTTTTCCTGGACATGTAACGAAGCCAGAGATACCTCTGATATGACCGGAAGCTGCCGCCACTTGATGCATACATTCACAATCAGTAACGTAGATGAATCAGAATTAAAACGAAGAGATTGGTCAACTGATAACCTAGGAACATTTCATCCCACAAGATTGAGAGGAGAATAATAGTAAGAGGTTTTGATAAAAAACATCGATCTGTCTATCAATCGATCCACTGTTGACAATCCATCTGTCGTCAAAATCGAGGAGGAATAAGGAAGGAGAACGGATAAGAATAGTAGGGGAGAAGAGTAAAGAATAAAACAACTTTTTAAAGAACGCGCAGTTTTCCTTTCTTCCGATAATCGCAACGGCTGCGCATCGCCGCTCACTTCGATTTCGGACCGCGAGCCGTCAAGTACCGTCCATCTGGTCCACAGAGAAACCTTCAGCCCATCCCTGCTTCGTTCTGCACGTTCGTTCCGGGTAACGATCCGGCCATTACCGGGCGCGGCGAACGCCTCTTCCTCGTGCCTGCCGGCCGTTGTTCGGCTTTCGACGCGGATGACCGGGCGCGCAAATGAGCGCCTTCGCGGCGGCGGCAGCAGCAGCCCAAGGAGACTCCTGTGAGGCCTCCGAGCGCGCCGGCAAGGGAAAGGGAAAGGGAGCGACTGACCGGCCTGGGGCAGGTGGCGAAGGACAGCCGAGGAGGTCGGAGGACGGGGGTTCATTGGTTTAATCAGGGGCACCCTGAGAAATCAAGGAGCCTGGTGCAGTAGACCCCTGGGAACCCCTTTTTTTTAAAAAAAAAAAAGAAGTTCCTCTTTTTTATTATTATGTTTCATTATTATCATATTTTAACGTGGATTACACTTCAATTAAAGTTAAATATTTCTTTTCACTAAAATGTATTGAAGGAAATACCTTTTATATAAATTATCGGAGCCTCACTTGAATGGGGGCCTGGGACAAGTTGCCCTAGCTGGCCCACCCTCTCGACGCCCCTGGATTTAATACCACATACTAGCATAGAACGAAGCCTACGGGATGCGTATGTTTTCAAATACGTATAGATTTTTCAGTATCATGTCTACAGTGCGCGTATGTGTATCATTACTAATTGAGAAAATATTAAACATTATTGGGTTTAGGAGAAATTCTATCGAGATTAATGAAATTATGTTATTGAAATATATGCCTTGAAATAAAAATGTAATCGTGTTTGAAGTCTTTCGTAACATAACACGCCTGACACGTCCAAGATAATAGATTTATCTTTCAAACAATCTAACAATCAATCCACTGTCGACAATCCATCCATCAACAATCCATCTATCTGCAATCTATACGCCTGCAATCTATCCTCCTACAATATATCCATCTTCATTTTATTTCCATCTAAAATGAAGCCTACAATGTACCTATAATCTGTCAGTCCCTAGCCTGTCAACCTACAACCTATCAATATATAGTCTATCAATCTACATACTCTATAACCAGCGCCAGTGAGTAGAGACTAGCACACTGGCTTCCAAAACCAGAGCTTGCATATTCAAATGCGGCTGCGAGCGGGAGAGGGCAGAACGGCAGAAATTCGTCGGTGTGCAAGGTCACGCTTGGGACACGAAAAAGAACCCATGCGAATTGCCCGGCAAAATTAAAACCTCCGACAATTCAGTCCTAATGAGATCCTATTTCAGCTGATCATATTAGCAGCTATTTCAGCGATGAACGCGTGTAACGGATAAAATGTTTTCAATGGATTATCCCGCATCACTAATTTGCAGCTTAAAAGGTGTATTTCGACTAGATAGTAACAGAGGCGGATCCAGAGACAGTTTGGGAGGGAACATTCAAAATGTTTTTGTCGAATGTGTCGTATTACAGATTTTATAAAATGTCGCAGGCTACACTCAGGTCATGATGCGATTCGATTTTATTCGTTTTAATGATTATCCGAAAATATTTTCGCTTGAAAGTTTCGTGACAAGTTAAAATTAAGTTACTGAAAATGTTTAGGTGGGTGGGGGGAATTTCCCTCATTTCCCTGCCCGTGGATCATTATTCATTATATGTGAAATGCATTTCCTTGTTTTTCAAAGATGACTATCTTGCACAATTGTATTTCAAATTTTTTCAGTGTTTGAAAGTCCACTGTGTCGAAGGCATCGAAAGCTGCTAAACATTCAAATTTATGTTAAAACGTTGGTAAATGTCTTTATTTGCATTATATTTCAATATGAAAACACGTCACCTACTGAGATCAAAGCTTAACTCAGAATAAATGTTGAATAATTAGCATTGTTTTAATATACATTAGCTCTCTAAAGAAACAAAACGTATAACTGCAAGACTAAAAAATACTTTGTCAAAAATGTACCCCATGAAAAACTTCACGATCAGTAACCCAGAGTAGTTTTTTATTAAAATCGAGTTGATAGTCGCTTTTACAAGCAACATATCATACATAAATAATAAAAATAAATGAAGCTATGAAACTGGAACACGAAACTGGAGGCCAAATTAACCATGAACACGAATCAGGTAGGTCTTCACGTTCATGTTATTTCGAGTAGAGTTGATGGTCGGCAATAAGTGTATTGACGTTAACGGGTATTACCTCGAAAATAACGTTTGTGGGCCAATAATCGCAGATCAGAAATGAATAAATATGAAAACACAACAATAAATTTTCCACGCTGACTTACCGCATTGCAGTTGTATTTAGTGCCCGGAATACACTGGCACTGCTTTTTCTCAAAAAGTAATTCCGTAATTGAGAGGCAACAGGTTCCTATCTTCGGTTCACACTGACGATATGACCAATCTTGTCCAATCCATATGACATCTGTTAGCCAGTATCTCCTGAAAGAGATAATAAATCATTATGTGAAAATTTTCTTAAGATGTTGATTGTTCTGGAAATTTGAAATCACAGACAAGAATGGTATTTTCTTCCTACAAAATAAGTACATTTACTATAATATGATTCCACGATTATCAAAAAGAACTTAAATGATAAAAATTATTTTTGATTCCGTTTTATAAACATACTCATAATTATTAAACATATATACTTTTTGACTAAATAAATCTAAATCTACATTTGATATTAACTGATTCTTATTTCAGTAAAAACAATATTCCATATGTAGCACCCTCCCTCTAGTAAATCATCCGAACGACTCTCACTACTGTTATTATGTTATGACACTTTCTTACTGTTATTATTTCCTTATTTTTTTAAAATTATATCAAGTTAAAGTTAAATTCAAGAAAATAGTCACGTTGACAAAACTTTGTTTACATGTAGAAAGTGAAGTAATAAACAGTACAAAGTTGAGAATCTTCATATTCTACTTCCAATAGATTTGACTGGTATATAAAAACAGGTTACGATTTACTGTATATCCTGCACCAGTTAATAGTTTGCATTTAATTATATAATGTATTATTGTATTTAATGTATTAAGGTATGTCATTGATGATTAAACTGAATAATTAATTTTATTTTGCGTGGTAGCATGACATTGATAGAATCAGTAAGTTCTGTTCACAGGTTGTTTTATATAAACAGATATGCAACACTTAAAATGCCAAGACAATTCCCAAACTATGTTTTTTTTGTTTTTGCGAATATTCTTGGCTGTCTGGTTCACGCGTCACCCGGCGACACAACAGCATATCAAAAGATTATGATGCCGACCAACGTGTTGTAGTCTAAACGCTTGTTTTGTCACAAATCTAAAATTCACAAAATGCAGGTGCTATCTAAACATTCATATTATGAAATACTATTAAAAAAAGAAAACATTCTGTCGATATTCATAAGTCAACGGCTGCTAACGGGATTGTGAGTGGCTAACATGCAAGAACGAACAACCTTGGCGCCACTCCAACTGGGTTCAAGAAACTAATTGGCTGGTGAGAACCAACCGACACACCTACCATCGTATAACGGAAAGGCCTATTATTTAAATCAAACATATTTAGATTTCGTTATTTGATTGCCTATCATTAGTGTTCTGATTGCGATGTTCTGATGGTGAAAATATGTAGGTCACATTTTAATCAAATGAAATACATACCAAACGAACCACAAACCATGACAGTTACAAATCTGATAGAACTACTGTAATTACTGAAGGAAATATTTAAAAGGTAGTCGCTGACAAAATAGTTTGACCTCAAATGGAGAAAATATCAAATGAAATATCTCGCCTCAAATGATATAATTGAAGTAGCTTAGTACTATTATTAATTACTTCGCTTTACCAAATGTGCTAACTGAATAGAAAAAAAAGGTTTTCGACGTCGCACTGAACTTTTCCTTGGACTGAGCCATTACTAAAACATTCAATAGAGATTTCATGAAGCAGCTTTCTGCGAATTATAAATGTTCTTGCAGCTGTGGTAATTGATATTCAAATTCATTTGTTAACATTTTCAATATTTTTTCCAAAACGCATGCATACGTCAAAACCGGAGGATATTTTTTTAATTGGCCAATGATATCATAACGTCATTGTTACAACCCTTGCTTTATAAATTTTTAATTAATTCGCACACGTCCTTGCCATCGCGGCTCGTAGCCTCAGAATTGTGCTTTCCACTATGAAAAAGATTCATTTTATAAGGCAAGAGGTGCAACAAAGACCTAATGTCATCGGCCAGTTTTAAAAAAATCAAAGTATACAACGAACCATTGGCAATGTTCGTACCTGCACATTTATTTTAGTGCAATGTGTTTCGTATGATCTGTTGTTGAGGTAGTTGAATATGATGCTCTTTCATATTTTTAACCCAACAGTCAGATATTCACATAAATTTTAGAGGGTATTGTAGACTTGGAATATGCCCTACAAAGCTCCGTACCAAGGTAATTTGCTCCTTTTATCAAATTTTCGTTTTGTTACCACCATGTAATATTTTTTTAAATTTTGTAACATAGATTTTATTTAGCTTATACAGACTTGTGACTGTGATGTGGAGCTTAGACTACACATTTTCCGCATGAGTATAAATATAACAAATATTATATTATGCGACATTAACGCAATCTCCAAATATTGTATTACTTATTCATTAGTATATTTATTATTTCGACCCATAATTTCTCGCTAAAAGATATCTTTTTCTATTTGTGAATAGTAGAAAGTAGAAAATAGTTTTTGTACAAAATAAAAAGATATAAAGGAATGCAGATATTTTAAAAAATGCCGAAATTTTTGCCGTTCTTTTGCGGTGCCCCGCTTGCACTATGGTTGGCGCGGTTCTGCTTTTGAAAGCTTTTAGAGAGAACATGCACGTTTACCTAGATTATTCTCATTTTTCTGTTCTGAATGAGTTGCTAATTGACTGGTGGGTTTGTAAGCGATTAGGAGTCGCCCACGTCCAAAATCGCGTAGCCCGCGAGGCAGCCTTCCCAGCTCCAATCTCGTCTAATGTGTTTTACGGAGTCCCCACAAATTATGAAAAAATATCGCCAACAAAGTAAAAAGTGGCGAGAAAAGAATAGAAGACTCGAATGAAGTTAACGTCAGTATCAAATGTCCTTCTTCAGTTACTGCTTATTTACTACTATGGTACTACCTTCAGTGAAAATATTTAAAATTTAATTTATGAAATTTGTTTATTTAACTGCCTATAAAGGAATTTTGATAACTGATCAGTAGGTATCAAGTTGATAACTCATTGTATTCTTATGATTATGCAAATATTATTGTTTATTTATATTTTACACGCACTTTCATATTTTTTACTGGTCTACCCGATTCAAGGAGAAATTCCTCAGAGTTTTCTATTATGTAATTTGAACTTTTTTTGCCTCTATGTTTCTTGTGACAGGCAAATTAAAAATTAATAAATAAGTTTTAGATCCCCATCGTAAAAAATCAGTGTTTTATTTTTAAAAATATATACAAAATAACTTTTAAATAAGCGTTTAACTTTTTAACAGCGATGTTCCGAAATTTTGTATTTGCCACCTAAAAGCTCTCAGCTTTGCCGGTAAATTTTAGCTCCTGAATTTACATAAAGCCAAAGCCACAATGAACCTCCGAACAGATTAAATTATTACTTTAGACGTTCTTGACTCGTATAATCAGATTACAACGTGAATTATTGTGGGAGAATTTAATTTTATTCGGAATTTAGATGGAGTTTTTAGATGCCGTAAGTACGACAAGGTCGTGGTGGATTTCCTACCCTTCAAAAATACACACAAATCTCTCTCAGGGCCAAACCCGCGGTCTGGAGGCTGGAAGAGGCCAATAAGTCAACCCTTAACCCACCGAAGTTTATAAATATTATTATGAAGAAGGTTTTTTGTAATTTTTGGATTTGTTCTTTTCGATGACCTGATGACCATAATGATGAAATCGGCCACTGAATAACATTTTTTTTGAGTGTGATTCTGATTCTCACCATTGTTTGAATTCCCAAAGTCACCTTTCAATATTTTTAGTCCCTTAATTTAAGGAGTGTCTCATCATTGTTTATCTTCCTGATCTCAACTGCGCATACGATTTCAGTGGCAACAGCTAATCGTTAATATTGTAGATTCAAATCCCATCGAAGGTAGTAATTTTCACATCGTAATTGTGAGGTAGAAGACAAAGGCAAAGCATCACATAATTCTTTTTTTACTCATTGTACCTAGAAAAGTAAGTTGACCTTTGTTCTTCGATAGCCGACTGAGAAATGAAAGTAAAACAATCAAAATAAGAGGTGGTGGAAACAGAAAAGCAGAAGAAAGAGATGAGGACGAAGATGGAAAATTGTTTTCTGAAGATGGGGGAAGTCAGGCAGCAAAGTCAGAATAACCGCCTGAAGTAGTTTTAGCCTTTGCATAAGACACGAACTAAACGGAAGGAAGCGCCTTTCCCAATCGTGCAGTGCTCACAGAACACCGTGGCGAATCTTGACATTCTAGGCAAGTCGACGCGTTGTATCCGTAAACACAGCAAAGCAATGGTAATAAAAACCGAAGTACATGACATAACAGAGGGACACGAATAGACGCGCCGAAGGCCGCAGCGTCCGATGCGACCGGAGGCACGTCGGAGGGGGGGGGAGGGGAAGGGGTCGCAAGCGAGGACTGCCACGTCCTCGCGCGCCATCGGCGTCGTTGTCGTCGTCGCTGACGCTTTCTCCGATAAATCGTCCTTGCCGAGGAATCGCCTTCGCTTCGGCAAACGACATTCCACGGACAGCGACGCAAACGCACTGTGGGGGTGGGAGGGGACGGACGGAAAGGAACAGTATGGAATGGGCCGGGCCGAAGGGCACCTCGGGATGGGACAGCACAGGTCGTAAGCAAACGGGGCGATTGATTGATTAGTGATTCCGGGCGTGTGAACGGCTTAGGTCACTTGTCCCGTAAGTGAAGTGCATGTTTTATTGGGAGGTGGCGGTAATCTGCCTCACTGGATTGCGAGATCTGGCATCGACGTATCCGTCGGCTTTTGGGGGCTTTTCCCAACATGGTATCTCCCACCCGCGGGGCACCGCCCCAGCCGGGACAAGCTCTAATCTCCAACAGGTATCTTGGCATGTGTGGTGGTTTAGTGCGTTTGTGTGTGCGACTGTTGTGAGTAAGGAGTGGCAATATAGAACAAGAAAGAGCAAGGATAGATCGTGCGCGGTCCATGGCACACTTATTAGAGAACTGTTCTAGCATTCCCCTGGTATTCCTCGAAACCAGGGAAAGGAACCGATTAGAGCAGCAGGCCGATAGAATTATCCTTCAGACAGAGACTGAATTCGACCTAGCTATCTAGCCAGTGTGAAAAATCCTGCACCGTCAGGACTCGAACCATGGGTCAGAGGCATTGCAGTGACATTAACTAATGCCCTGAGCCTCC